AATAAAAGAACAATAATCATTATCACAGTAAGGCATGCTGTGTTCTCCAATCAGGATATGACAAATATTATAATGATTAACATAAAATACAAAAAACAGCAAGCCAAAAATGTCCTTTCAAAAGATATTTAAAATATTTCACAAAAGTTCTCAGGTGAGGACAAAAGTGCAAAACAACTTAACCAACTAAAGCGATAAACTTAATGCATTATCGAAACATTTGAGACATTTACTTTCGATTTCAGCAGCGAATTTGCCAAGATTTCCGTATAACCCCATACTTCATTATGCATTTAATTCTTGGATAAAGGAAAACTGAAGCAAAACAACAGATTTCCTACGGGACTACGGCTTTGTTTTTGATTGGTATGGGGTTATACGGAAATATTTCCGTGAATTTAATTAAGAGGGTAAGGAAAAATAAGTCGTCCACTGGACGATTAATTGATAAGAATTCTTGAACTAAATTCAGGTTTGGTTTCTGATGCGTAATGCAAGAAGTGCGCAGCTGTAAAAAAATTATTTAACCACAGTTCCCGGACCTCAAACGAAAACGGCGTGGTAAAACTGTATCTATGCAAAAATTGGCTTTTGATTCACGTACAAATTATAGATATCGATTATCGAATGACTTGAAAATCAGTCAATGCCTGACCTCAGTTTTACAACGTGCTCAAAACATTCGGCTGTTGCCCAAACTCCGGAGTGGCAGTCTTTTATCACTCGTCGTAGTAAACGAATTACTCGCGAAATGTCGAAAGCTGGTTCAATATATCCGCATAGTGTTCAACAAGAGCCTATTCGATTCTTCCGGAATCACGTGGACCTTCCCTTACCTTGTACGTCCATTTTTTCCATATCTGTACTCAAGGAATCATCAGCCATCCTCGTTTTTCTTCTTTCCGCGCTGTTTATACTTAACTTATCGGTTAAATGAGGGGAAAATTACTAAATTACTCAAATTTTGACGACTTTTTTTACAACGTTTCCAACGGGTGTTGCATCAGGCCGCGTCTCGAAATAAATGTCAGCGGATTTCTAAGTAAGGCGTAAATTTAAGGGACGAGGGAGGGGAGATAGGGGATGAAATAATAAAAAAAAAAATCGCTTCAAGCACATTTTGAAATTATTGTGAAGACAGATAGGACTTTCAGATATTTCGAAAATATTTTTTTGTAACGGGTGATAGAGGTGGGTATATTACCTCATGTTTGGTGGTTTGTTGCACTTTTTATTGGGAACATGCAAATCTCTTAGCCCTCCCCGACTAGGAAACATTGTTAGAATGGCGGGATTGCCATTATATCGTTCTGAAGGATTTTTCTGTTTTTCACTGGAATTCCATCGCTACATGTAGGAAATTTGCAGGGATGACAACGTCATAAAAGATGTATCGTGTTTTTGAAGCATTGGTTCGTAATACACGAGCCGTAGATCGAGTTCAATTTTGCTATCGACGGCCAGCGCTGGTGAGGCACCAATGTTCTTCCAAAATCCAAGATGACTCAAAAAGTGCAAGCTTAGAAGACGAACAAAAGAGGTTTAACCCTCTCGAAATTCAGATGCTGTCTACAGCACTACACATTCAAGTATTCTACGGTAAATCAGAGGCTTACGATTCCAAAACGGTCAAAATATGCCAACAACATTTAGGGGTGCATAATTTGTGGGGCAAGACTGGATCAGTTCTGCCTGATGTCGATTTCCAACTTCCACCTCTGCATGGTTCAAATATCGATGAGCACTTTAGAAAGATCGCTGAAGAGCAGAGTAGACCATACTTTGAGAAAGCTCAGTTGTTGGCGCAAACGACGCTGTCAGCCATACCAGATGAATGGAGCTTTTCTCCGGGTTGGACTAAGTATGTGTACGGTGAAGAGGGAGTGGTCACCTCCTCAGTGGATGTGCCAGGAGACGATGCTTTGATCTTTGATGTCGAAGTGTGCATGAAAGAAGGACCATTTCCTGTGATTGCAGTGGCTGTATCTCCTAAGGCATGGTAATGATAACTGATAATTTTTGTTCCTGGGTCTACACACATGCGCCTTTCTTGGCAAGAGTATCATATAACCCCATACATTAATTATGCATTCAGACTAGTAGACTTTGTTTTTAAAGTTTTGTCGTGAAAGACAAAGAAGTGGAATGCCTAATTAATGTATGGAGTTATATGGTACTCTTTCCCCTTTCTTAATTGACCAGTTTCTACCTACCACTGTTTTCAAAGAGAAGTGCTCATTAGCACTACACAGAACTTGTTTCAATTTATAAACTTTCTACCAACCTGGGTGTTGCTTTGCACAATAAGACACAGCTTGTGTTGTTGTCACGCCACAGGCAATTTATTAGAGTTGTGCGCTATAGAAATACTCTTTATTATCATTATTATTATTATTATTATTATTATTATTATTGTTGTTAGAATGATCAGTTAAGGAGCATTTCTCCTTGATTCAACACCCCACCCCTACCCCCCTCAATTATGTGCCCTAGCTTATCCTAAATTTGAAATAAATGCCCTGGCCAATGACCACCTTGTAGAGAGTTTATCATGCAAAATTTTACAAAATGTACCATGTGATAATTGTATTTCCCCTTTTTTGTGGGATCTTCTTGAACAAAGGTACATTTATTTAATTATATTGTACCCTGAAATTCATTTTAGGGAATGAAGAGTTTAGTACTTAATGTTTGCTTGTTAATACACCTGTAATTGCTTCTATTTAGGTATAGCTGGGTTAGTCCAAGCCTTGTAGAAGACAAGAACTACAACATGTTTCTGAGACCATCTCCTAAACTGTATATTCCATTGGAGCTGCCCGAAGGTCAGGAGTGGAGTTCAACCAAGTGGAAAGAAAGGCTTGTCGTGGGCCATTCTGTTGGATTTGACAGATCTTTTGTTAAAGAACAATATTATATCAAGGTGTGAACGGTTGGTTATTGTTAGTTAAACTGTGTAAACTACTTAATTTATTTAGAAGATATTTGACTAACACATGTTTGATCAACTTTACTTCAAGGAAAAAAGGTAAATGGTAAAGTCAATATGAAACACAAGGAGCTGGTGGTTATGCAGGTTCTTAGAGTTTAAACAACTAGGAGTATTTCTGCTATCCTTTGAAGGGATACTAGCTGAGTGCACACTACCCCATAGCATTTTTTAAGGTATCTTGACAGTTGGGCAGAACCCAATTATAATTTGAACAGAATTCAATGATTTAAAAGTGTCCAGCTCAAGAACACAATATCACTCCTTAATGTAGTGCTTCTTCAATGGTAGTGCATACGGTTGAACCTCTCTATGATGGCCACCTTTAGGGCAGAAGAAAGTGGCCATTGTGGGGAGCTGGCCCTCATAGAGAGGTTTAAATGAATGTATGGACAGCCTACTGGGACTGAAAAAAGTGGCCATTGTGGAGAGGTGGCCATTGTAGAGAGCTGGCCGTTAGTAAGAAAGAAAGAAAAACACTTTATTCAAGTGTCAATGTATTTAGCTTTACAAGTGTAAAAACTAATTGGGGACACTACTTAGTTACTTAATGTAAAGAAGTTTAAAGATAAATATACTAGTTATTTACACATTTAGAGTAAAATTTCAAATGTAAAACTAGAGCCTTATTTACATACTGATAATACTTTTAGATGGCTAAAACATTGTACAGAATGCTAAAACCTAATTTTATGAGCAGATTTCGCAGTCCACGCAGGTGTCTTTTAACAATTCAGTCAGGTTTCATTTCTTTATGCTTTGTTTTAATGGAGGTTTGACTATATTTAGGGATGATTCCTTAGGAGTGATATGGTATTATCCTAATTCCTTGCATGGATATCTAAGAATTGATGTATGATGTTGTTACTTATAGCCTCAACTATTATATTTCAGGGACCTAAAACATACTTCTTAGACACCCTAAGTCTACACATGTGTATCTCTGGCTTGACGAGTCTACAACGTAATCTTTGGGAATCAGCTAAGGCAGGACGCATTGGAAAAGTGCCCTGGATGCTGATTGGCTCAGGAAACAAACTGGTAGACCTTCATCACCTTTATTGTGGTGGTGATGAATTAGACAAGTCATTGGTGAAAATCTTTGTAGATGGAACGCTTGATGATGTTAGGGCAAACTTTCAGGTATGGCAAGGGTTCAGAAAAGGAAGGTCTAATATGCATGCAATACCCCACTGTTATAAATGTTTAATTTATTTATCAATGGTAACACATTGAGGTATGCATGTATAGCTGTAAATTCTGCAGTGTAGGACTTTGTTTTAAAAAATCCTGTTTTTGGTAATGGCCGAACCACAGCTGTATGAAGAAAGATTATGAGAAAGTGCAAATGTGCAGTGCATTTGAACATCCCAAAATGCAGGATGGGATGTGATTACAAATTTTATTACAAATGCAATAAAACATATAACATAAGTACCTCAAACCTGGGTTGTTTTATCTGCACAGTGGTGATTGAAGACAGAGGGCGAGGTGAATATAAGTGTTTTCTCGACATTATTCATAGAGTGGGTGAAGTAGCCATTTTTATATAGTGAAAGTTGCCACAAATTGTTGAGCACTGTAATTAAGAGTTGGCTGGCCATTTGAAATCAAAGAAATTAGGACAATTTTTTGAAAGACATTTGAAAAGTTTTGCCATACACCTCTACAGGTCATGCTAGGAGTCCTAGTTACACAGTCAAACTTGTACCTTAGATCTTTTTTTGGTTTCTTGTGTACATACACTTTGCATTTTTTTCAGTAGCCAACAACCATACACAGGTTTTCTACATTATTGTGTAGATGGCAAGCTTTCAATATATGAATATAGTTTATTGTACACCCCAAATTCTAATCCAAATCTTTGTGCCCAACATGCAGTCACTCTTCATTTCAATTTGTTGACAGGATCTAGTAACATACTGCGCACATGATACGGCAGCAACTCAAGAGGTATTTGCTGCTCTTTGGCCAAAGTTCTTGGATAGATTCCCACACCCAGTGTCTTTTGCTGGGATGTTAGAGATGGGATCAGCTTATCTTCCTGTTGATCGTTCTTGGGAAAACTACATCCGAGATGCTGATGACACTTATGAAGATCTGGAGAAGGAAATGAAGTGTTCTTTGATGAAACTAGCTGATGAAACATGTAACTACCTTCACGGCAAAAGGTTTGCAAGATTCTTGATTCTGATTTAATTATCTGAAAAGTTACCTATTACCCCTTTAACTCCCAGAAGTGATTAACAAGTAACTTCACCCTATAATATCCTTACATTATCCAGCAAAGAGGTAATGAGAATACTCTAATCTATCAGGTAGAAGTTGTAATCTTGATATAGCTCCAAATTCTTATCGAATCTACAAGGAAATGTGTAGCAGCAAGAGGGGAGAATTAACAATCAGATCTTAGGAGTTAAGGGATCTTAATTTACTTCCTTCTAGCCTGCCGGTCAGGCAGTTTTGGTGGTTTTCATCTTTCGAGTGTTTAGCTGCCATGTTGGATTCGCTGCAGACTGGGAGAATTGGGGCGAGAATGCGAGAATGCCAGAGTGGGTGGGGGGACAGGGAAGGAAAACCGGAATTTTCCTTCCCTTCTCCCTCCCCCTTCCCCAATTTTTCTCTCTCCCTCCCACTAGCTTGATAAACTTATTACTTCACCCCAACTCTCCACTTTTTTTCTAATTCAAGATGGTGGCCTGAACAACCGATGGGAATATCCACTCGCCCCGCCAAAATCCGCCTGCACTGCAGGCTAACTTTCTTTGCTCAAAACTTTTGAAAACTGACCTACAAATTAACTTTTTTTTGGAAAGGCTTAAAAAATGTTGAGACTCACTCATGCATCAAAACTTTATAGGACAGATGACTAAGAATCAGGCTTGAGGCCTGTAAGACTTGAGCTAGAAAATTTCTCCTCATTTCCACTCAATTTCTGCTTACAATATCAATACAATAGCAAGCAGACAAGCAAGGAGAATAAATAAAAATATCAGTTAGGGGATTATTAGGGAATACAATACTAAATTCTCCAAACTAACATCATAAGAACCACATGGCAGACAGTAAGGAGAATCACTTATGAGATCTTTAGATTGAAATAGTTTTCAGCAAAGCATAAATAGAGGACATAGTGAAGAACATGCACACCGAACTATAACTTATTTGTCTTTTTAAGATATGAACAGGATCCTTGGCTGTGGGAGCTGGACTGGTCTGTCCAAGACATCAGAACCAAAAACCCAAAACCTCCTAAGAAGACAAAGAAAACTGAAAGCTCTAGCAAAGGTGTCAATGAAGATTTGCCATCAATCCTGACTGGTTCAACTGGCAAAGATGTCAGTTCTGAGGTTCTTGATGATGAGATGATTGACGACAATAATATTGAGGTAGTAGAAGGTTTGAAAAACTCATCTGACATCTTGGCAAGAATCCCACCAGCAGCAGATGTCATGTGGAAAAGACGGCAGAAGTTACCAGGTTATCCTAAGTAAGTGGCCAGGGGCTTTTAACTCTAAGTCGAGGAGTATGATCTCTGACACTATACACTTCATTGCACTGCCATTTCTTTCAAAGTGTGTACTTTTTTCACTGATGAGGAGCTCATATCATCAAGGGTCTGCATCAAGTTAAACTTAGTCTATTACTCGTGGATCACATCTTGAAACTTGATCTGATGGGAGTAGTCCCTCCTTTTTGGTAAAGTTTGTCAAGAGGGTCAAAAAAGATCAGCGTGGAACTCTGGGAGTGGGGTGCTCAATAAGTTGGCCTCACTCCCACAGTTCTTTGTGGCATGCTAACATCAATTTTTTGTCCTTAATTTTTTTTACTTACCCAACAGACTTCTGAAAAGGAAGGGCTTTTTGTTTTCTCGTGATCAGCACTCTGCTGTGAACTCCATGCACTTAAGTCTTTGACAAAAGGGTTGGTCTTAATGTTTTGCCTCTTTAATTTTCCGGTTTCTGATGGTGACGACGATAATGATGATGATATTTGCAATGAAGCCATGGACAAAGTTAACTCTAATGCTAAAATTCTAAAAATGACTCACAATGATTATGATTAAAACCTTTGTTTTTTTGTTTTTAGAATATAATCTATATGCTGCCTGTAACTCGATTCTCATTCTTGATTGGCAAGAGGCCATGATGTTTTAAAAATCTGGTCAAACTTATTTCAAACGCACGTATACCTTTTTAATTATTTTGGCTTTGCCGGCTTGTGGAGAACTACAAAACTAATTTCCTGCCTACATTCAGCATAACTGTTTTTGCAAAATAAAGTAAAATGTGTCAATAGAAGGTACCCCTAAGCAACAAGTCTAGATTGCAAATTAATAATATTGTGGCACTCTATCTCCAGTTGGTACAGATCTCTTTGCATGGGACCATCAGACAAAGGTGAGTGGAAGGAAGGACCAGTGTCCATCAGCCCACAATGCCAGGTGGCACCCACCTTATTACGCATGACATGGGATGGCTTTCCTCTGCTCTACAATCGTAAACATGGCTGGGGATATCTTGTACCTGGAAGGACTGACAATCTGACGTCCAGCCCTATGACCTTGCCGAGCAACGAGGAGGACTTGGTAGATCCACAGAAACAAGAATTAGTATTCCCAACAAGGTAGGAGTGAAAAGTAGGAAAATAGTGGCATACAGAGGTGTTGTGAATGTTGGTTCAAGTATCTTAATTTACTGTTCTGTCGTTTGGCACAATTTTACAAGCACTGCATTCCTCAACAAGATGGATTATATTTTTTTCTTGAATTTATCTCTCAAATTTTTTATCAGAAATGATCTGATCCTTTTGATGTCCATTTTGTTTAAACAACTGATTGCGTTTGGTAGTAAATTCATCACAAGCTTTGAAGAACAAATAATCAAGAATAGTCAAGAACGCCAATAGGAGAATATAAGTTTTTTTAGGGTTATTTCTTTGAAATAAGATGCAAACTAGTGAAAAAGAAGCTTTTTTCGGGCATCAACATCAAACAACACATCTTAGGTCTCACTCACGGACAAAACTTTTTTATCCAGTATTCCCGGCACTATCACGAGGTAACAAAACTGTCTCACGATGGATTCCATTGTAATAAACTTCCTTAATGTACCTTTTAGGGCATTTGACAATCTCTGGAAGAAACACAGTATGAATGTAACTCCCAAAGAAACAAATGAGTCAGATTCAAAGTTTGATGATGACGAGCTGAATGTGTACAGCATTAGTGAAGATCAGCTCTGGGATAGATCAGAACTGGAAGAAATGAGAGCAACAAAAACTCTGACAACCAAGAAAATATCTCCTAATACAGAGAACCTCAATGAGACCATAGAGGGTGATTCAGAGTCAGCCCCAGCAGAAAAGGTACCCCGAGTTAAGAGCACAACATCTCCAAGAGCGGATAGCAGACCTGATTTCTATCATGGCGTAGGACCTTACAATGATGTCAATCTCCCAGGAGTATGGTTTTTCCGTATTCCACACAAGGTACCGTTCGTCACTAACTACTCTTAACTTTAACCTGCACAGCAGAACAAGCGTAATTTTTTCCCCTCACGCTTATCCCCGTTCGCCTTCATATTGGTGGGTGGGTCTTCATAGACCCACCCACCAATATGAAGCTGCATGGCCTGAGTATTTTTTAATGCCCTCTGGGTCCATGCTAGATCTTGTTACACCGTATTATTTAACAACTTTTCGTGGCTAATAATTCTCAGTTGAACAGCGTCTCGTGTACCTAACTTTAGTGAGCAATAACTGCTGGAAGTTACCCAGTTTCGTTAAGTAATAAATGAAGTCCGTAAGATAAAGTGTTATCTCTTTAACTTCCAAAATTTGATTTTTAATTCTCCCCTCTAACTGCTAAGGCATGTCCTTGTAAATTAATAAAGGGTGATAGTTTCGAAAGAAACTGTTTGGGGCTGCGTCGGTGGGGGTAACGAAATAATTTGGATATATCAACAAAGTTGAAATGGTAAATTGGCCACCGTAACGATTACAAATGCTGACGTTTCGAGCGTTAGCCCTTCGTCGGAGCAAATAGACGAAGGGCTAACGCTCGAAACGTCAGCTTTCGTAATCGTTACGGTGGTCAATTTACCATTTCAACTTTGTTGATATATCCAAATTATTTCCTTGTAAATTAGTTTCGAGAATTTGGTGGTAGATGAGGAAAATGACTTCCACATGATAAGTTGTTCTTATCATCCATATACTGAATAATGTATGGATATTATAGGGAGAAGTTACTTGTAAATCACTTCTGGGAGTTGTTTTGCTTCAGAATGGTGAGAATTATCGTTGTGGTAACCCGTTGGCTAAAGACTATATCAGCAAGATGGAGGATGGTACATTGGTGTCTTCATCAGGAGATCATAGTGCTCACAAGACGCTTATCATCAACAAGATGATTTCTTCTTGGAGGAATGCACAGAAAAGAGTCAGGTGCGAATCACTGTTTAGAGGTTGACAAAAAAATTGCGAAGTGGATAGATTTTGGAAAATAATGCGAAGTTAATTGAAAAACTTTTGGCGTAAATAAAAGCCTTTAGTGCGGGCGTTTTTTCTTTCTTTTCTTTCCTTTTACATTTTTGAAATTTTTCAGGCGATTGGAAGCGAAAGAAAAAATCACGCCTATTCTGCAGTCTTCAATTAATGATAAAAATTTTTTTTTTTTCGTTCTGTAGATCACAGCAGGCTGTCTGGTTCGACAAAACGGATTTGCCCCCAGAAATAACAGGGTACAAAGTCAATTTATTGACAGTTTTTCGTATCGTTTATGTTTCCGGTATAAAATATCGTGACTTTTTTTTTCTACGGATCGCAGATCTGAAAAGTTCAGTTCTGATGAGATGTACGGTGCTATCTTACCTCGAGTCATCACAGCTGGGACAGTAACAAGGAGAGCCGTGGAACCAACTTGGATGACGGCCACTAATCCAAGAGTAAGAACAAAGTGTTGCTGCGTTTGTACTGCAGCGCTTTTCGATTCAAACACCAAAATATCCAGCGGCGAACCGATTAAAGACAAACATCACACGATCATATGAAGCCAGTGAAGAATAAAGCAAAAAAAAAAAAAGGCAAACTGTCTAAAGCGAAGGGAAAACATGTGTGATTTAGCCGTGATTGGTTGTAGTTTTACATTTGAAATCTTGAGATGGAAGTGCGACTTTTTTAATTTTTTGAATCTCAGGACGCCTTGAAACAAAGCAAGCGCAACTGGATAAAGGGGGTAACTTTCTAAAGAAACTGTGGTGCTGTGACGGTGGGGGGTATGACAAGATACTCAGGTTTATCAACCGAGTTGATAAATGTAAATTGGCCTCCGTAGAAAGTTTGTAAAGCTAACGTTTCAGCGCTAGCCCTTCTTCAGAGCGAATCGAAGAATTTTGGAATGTGTGTGGTTTACATACAGAAATATAGAGCCACGCTACTGGTGAGAAAAAAGAATAAATTAATTGAATGAAGAACGTTAGTTAATATCGTGGGGACTAAGAGTGTCGATTTGAAAGGTTAATTTTTGTTCTAGAGTTTTGTGCTGGACTTCCGTACTCCAGACTGATTGGGGAAATGGGCCCAAACAACTTGCTAGACGCATAAATCTTGTTTGTCCCGAGCATCATTTTGTTATTTGGACATTATTTGTGGCTTTTTCTCCTTTAGGAGGATCGTGTTGGTTCTGAACTGAAGGCCATGGTACGGGCTCCTCCAGGGTACTGTTTAGTAGGGGCTGATGTAGATAGTCAGGAGCTCTGGATTGCTGCCATTTTAGGGGATGCGCATTTTGCCGGGATACATGGTAAGTTTTCAACAAGTACAAGGGCAACAAAATTACTGTTGTAGTTACACGTAAAGCAGGCAGCTGTGTACACGTGACTCGTGTTTTAGTCTAGTTGCCTAAAAGTACACACACAAACATAACAAAATACCTTTTAAAGGGAGACAGTTTTGTTTTAAAGTAGTTTTTTTTTTTTTTTGCAACGCGAGGATAGGTGTTAAGTCTGGAACCGAGGTTTCTGGGGTCTTTGGCGGCAGTAATGTTTTCAAACCTCAGGTATATAATGTTAATCACGCAGGCAGCACGGCGTTTGGTTGGATGACCCTACAGGGTAAGAAATCAGAAGGTACTGACCTCCATAGCAAGACCGCAGAGACTATTGGGATAAGTCGGGACCATGCTAAGGTAAATCATTAGTCAAGTTCAACTCTCTGGCATTTAAAATTCTCCCTACAATATAACTCCTGGATTACTTAGTAAGGTCAGGAGAATAAAGGAAATGATCAACAACTAAAGAAGCTTATGATCGTTAAGCAGATTCTCCTTGTCAGCACCTTCGGAAGTGTACAGATCATTATGGAGAATATGCATACTGGTACACCTCATAGTTGTCTCCGCCCTCTGGCTTGAGCCTCGAATTGCAATTTGAAATGTTGGTATTTGCAAAGGGAATTAAATGGGAGAACCCTCTCAGCTGAGTTGAACACTAAGAACAAATCTTATCCAAGTCTAACACCACCAGTTTTGGGAATCGAACCCGGTTCACATCGGTGGGAGGCGATTGTCACCACAGTGTGCCCTATTTGTCCTTTTTGTGGGTAATTCAAGCGATCTGTTTCTTGTTTTGATCTAGATCTTTAACTATGGTCGCATTTATGGAGCAGGACAGAAATACGCAGAAAAGTTGCTTCTACAGTTCAACCATCGTCTGACGGAGATTGAAGCAAAGCAAAAAGCTGAGACGTTGTTTTCCAACACTAAGGGAGTTGCCAAGTAAGAAAATGCGGCATAGTATCTAGGATAATCAAGGATGAGTGTAGCTTGACCGAGTGGTGAGGTGATGGCCTGGGACTGAGGTGTCACCAAGTTCTTGTAGGGGGAAGGAAGGGATTATGGTTCGAAAAAGCATTTTTCGTTAATCCGGTGATAGAAGTTAAGCTTGGGGGATGAATGTAAAATATTCTCAGCGCTAGCGTTGTAAGAAATGTGTGGCAGACACAAAGGAGAAATAATGCTTTGATCATGAGGGTGAAAGTGTTCAACCTGTATGTCTACGGTGTTTTGCTAATATCACTATTTTTAGGCTGATTTTGGAATCAAACGGTGACTTTGTATGCTGCAGGTTTCTTCTTACTGATTTTGGGAGAGAAATGGCACAAAGATTTGGCGTCGCCGAAGACATTGATGAAAATGGGTGCGTTGTGGCCAAAGTTTACTACCAGCTGCTCCGGAAAACTGCACGAAGAAGACGGTAAGATAGTTAACATGCCTTGAATTAGCATAAAGTTTTGTGTCTAAGGGACGTCGGTTGAATCTGGACTTCTTTTACTTTTAGTTCAACCGGAAATAGCATCGACGATGGCCGAAGGTGGTGCGGAGGAAGGTATAAATCACTGAAATAGATGAATGTCGGTCTTTGCGAAAATTTGATTTTGTTTTGAGGATATTTATTAAAGTACCTTTCTTAGGCTTTTCATGCTTGTTAGCTTTTAGCCCTCTTGACACTGTGCACAAAAATAAATGTCCCAATAAAAGGTCGAGCTAAACTAAGGATTGTTCAGGACGCGGTTTTGTTAAACAACGTCTAAACTTTGTTTTAATAACCGACCCATAGTATTCTTTGACTTAGCGCTTTACGACTCTGCATTCTGGGAGAAAAACCAAATTGGATTAAGGTTGAATTGATAATATCCCCGACACACTTTGTGATAGTTTTATTCTGTTATATTAAGGATACACAGTAGCCTAACATTGGATTCCTGTGCACCGAGAAACCAGACAAGAAAAGAGTTGTTCACCGAGAAACCAGTTGTTCAACGGTCGCAAACGCTATCCAACGGACAAACTGCTATCCAGCGGAAATGTTAACAAAGTGTTCAGAGTTTGGTCTCATATTCTGTAATCTTCGGGAATTTTTATTCATAGCCTACATTGTGTCGTTGTTTTGTAGCGAATCTGAGATGTTTAATATGCTGGAAAGCATTGCACAATCGATGGAGCCCAGAACTCCTGTGCTGGACTGCAGGATCAGCAAATCGCTGGAGCCTTCTGCTGTTGGCACGGAGGTAAGTTACTTTAACAAGGATAGAAACCCATATTTAATTAACGCAAGGATCAGCGCCGAAGCACTGATTTTTATTTTTTCCACAAGTAAATGCAGCACTTCAGTGAGAGTGACGATAATACAGGAGTAGTGTTTGTTTGACCAGAAAAGGGAAAGAAAATCAACATTAGAACTAAGATTAAGACAACAGCTGGCGGCGAATTTTCCTAAGAAATAGGTTCATGCTAGTGATCTACCCGTGTTTACGAACCATTCCCGCTATCTCCAGAGAAACTGAAAATTTTTATCCGAATTTAATGGAAAAAGGCTATGGACGTTCCACTTCACCTTTTCCACATCACTGTAGTTTAGGATGTAAGCTAACAGACGGAAAGATAGAAGGTTTTTCGGGTTTTATTGGTTTTCTTTCGGCAAAAGGATGTTTGGTTCTTGTTCTTGATAAAGTAAGACTGACACGTAGAAAGGCAGGCAAGCAGACAGATATACAGACATACAGATAAACAGACAACAGACAGATAATACAGACAACAGACAGATATACAGCCAGGCAGGCAGATATTCAGCCAGGCAGGCAGAAAATAGACAGACAGACAACAAATGTACGAACGGAAGGACGGAGTTACGGACAGACAGAGTACGAAAGGATAGATATTGGACAGGCGGAATTTATGAAGGCACAGCTGTGGGCAAATATATCGAGGAAAATACAGATCTTTGTTTCTCTGCTTGCCTTAATTAGTTCATGACCAGTCGTGTTAACTGGGTCGTTCAAAGTTCAGCCGTAGATTATCTACACCTTATGCTGGTTTGCATGAAGTGGCTCTTCACAAAGTACAATATCGATGGGCGGTTTTGTATCAGCATACACGACGAGGTAAGCAAATAATTTTTGGTACCTTCTCTCTACGTGTTGTTTGAAAACATGATGTGCACATAAATCGTAAAATATCATACAATTTTTCTAAAGATTCAGGGGAAGCTGTTTTCTCTTCCCTAGTGAAATACTCTCTTCCGACTCCATATTGATCCATTTAGTATAGGGAAAACCCAGAAATCAGAACTATAATGGTAATTTGGACACCCAGTCCTAATTTGGACATCAAGTCCTAATTTGGACACCAAGTCCTAATTTGTACATCAAGTCCTAATTTGGACACCAAGTCCTAATTTGCACGAGCCTTCATGATTCCAATTCTACGTTACTTACTGAGATTACTTAAGGTTGAGCAGATATGTGCGTTGAACTTCGTCGCTTGTCACGGCCTGTCTTTCATTTTCGATGAATCACAGAAGTTATATTTAAAATAGAAAGTCATTCCCCCTTTCTGTACCATTCTTTAGTTTAAACAATGAAGAAGGAAGAGACACGTTTAGGCCAAACAAAGTCAAGCTTCAATCCTGATTCTGTGTCTGCTTTTGTCATAATTTTGTGATGATAGAATGGTCAAATCTTCACAGGTTCGTTATCTGGTGTCAAGGAAAGACAAGTACCGCGCGGCCCTGGCACTACAAATCACAAATCTACTGACCAGGGCGATGTTCGCTCATAAACTGGGGATGAACGACTTACCACAGGTATCCCGTGTGCAAGGATTTATCTTAAAGAAGCTCTCTTACCATATTTCGCCTCAAGTTTTCTTCCTCTTTCTGGCGGACACCACTATTGAACTATTGAAGAAAATCACAAAATGTCTTAAATAAGATCGGGAAATTAATCTTTACAGCACAAAATTTAGATCTACACTCGCGAAAGAAAAGGAAAGTATCTAACCTCACTTCGTGTCGTTGAAAAACAGGAGCTGCTAACGCATAAGTCGTTAGTGCGTGACAATTGCAAGTCGATCTGTATAGGTTAGCTGCAATTGAAGTCACTGCAGGGAAATAAGTCGGAAAAAAAATTACGTTTCGAGTAAGATTGACACCGAGCTTTCTGGATGCTAGTTGTACTTCTTACAAAACTACGACGAATTGTAGTCTTCTGGTATCCCTGTCAAAACTGCTGTGTTCTACATCAGACTTGCGTCTCAGCTTCTCTCGCAAGGGTTTTGAAATCTTAAGACGTCTTTGTGTGGAATGTCGAGAATGATCTTGAACTTAAGAATTTATTCTTCACAATCACTGGAATAAAAGTTACAATTGCTATCAACCCCCACCGGTCAATTGGTATGCTTGAAGTTGGCGTTAAGGCCTCCATGGATGACGCATTTCCTTTTCTCGGGCTGGTTTAAGTTTTATTGTCCTACTTCTTTCATTTTACCTCTAGTGAGGTTTTCACTGATGCAATAAACCTGGGTAACATATAGGTGTTTATTCGTGTTTAACAGTCGGTGGCGTTCTTCAGTGCTGTTGATATTGACACTGTGCTGCGAAAGGAAGTTTCCCTTGACTGCAAAACTCCATCCAACCCGCTAGGACTTCATAAAGGCCAAGGAATATCGCCAGGTTTGTAACAAAAATGCTAAAATTTCTTTAATACCCACTGCAAAAGGCCTTTTCCAGGCAACGTTCTGAAATACGTTTTTATTACTTGTCCAACCTGTGATAGGCGCTTTATTAGGAAATCACAGAAAATAATTCTATCCAAAAATCACGAAAGATTTTTTTCCCCTATTTCCCGTCGCGCAATTTTCCGAGACAAAGACTTCTGGGTCCGGTGAGACAAAGTGTCACTGGGAAAAGTTTTGTTCAAATGTGGAAATTTTCACTGCAACGATTGCCTCCAGTGGACGCAGTTAAGCGGCAAACTATGTGTTGTCTCCTGGTTAAGACGCAAAGGAAACGCTCGTTTAACAGTCTCGTAAAATTTGATTCTTTAAATTTGTATTTATAAATACATAGACAAATTTTAACGAAATTACGATGTGGAAAAATTAACTGTTGCATCGATTAAAACAATTGTGGGCAATTTATTGAATCGATGTTTCTCTGTTCGTAATGATCTATCGCTAAACACCATTCAAACTGTTTTCAAGCGATCTTAAGTGCAAACAAGACGTGCGAAGGGAAAATTTGCCAGCAAATATTTGAAATTATCTAAATGCCAAGTCTGCTGCCAAAGAAAAAGTGCTGCTGGATTCACTTTTGTGTCTTTTGTGTCTGGATACACTTTTCTGCTGGATACACTTTTGTGTCTAAAACAAACTCAGCAGGACTTTTTGTTTCTTTCATTGAATTTAATTGTATTAAAGATGAATTTTCACACTGATTGTTGTGCATTTCTCTTCTCTCGCTGGTGTTGTTTCTTTGTACATGAAGGCCGTCTCTTTTCGTCCATGCGTTTCTTTTTTTCCTTAATGTCTAATTAACGATGTACTGTAAGGGAAATAAGTGCAGGGTTTGCATTTGTTGGGAAACAAAAGTGACCTTTAGGGTGAGTACAACAATTTGAAAAGATCATACACAAAGGGACTCCTCTTGTGTTAAAAGTGCACCCCACGGGGACCCACAAAAGAGAATTGATGTCACTGGCACCCAGTCCTTCCTGTTGTGAGTCATGCGCTGACGTGCTTTAGGTCACACTTAAACGAAACATCATATGCATATATTGTCAGTGTTTCTCCAGGCTTCATACCAGTCGCGCACATTAAGGTAGATAGCATCTGGTCAGGATTTGATATGGTCGGCTTGCTTAAGCTCTCTTTGTCGAAGTATTACATTGAAAAAGTCAATGTCAGCTACAAAATTTTATCTCTTTATCTGAAGTTTTTGCCAACTGACGTGGTCCTTCTCTCATTGGCAAAACAATGCTCCCTTTTGGCGCGAAACATGAGTCCCGTGTAGCGTGTACGCAGTCGGTTTTCCCTCTGAAATTGCTACAAAGATCGCTTCTGGAACTTGATAATCTGAACGTAAATAAGAGTACCGTATGCACTCTTCTAACCGATTATGATAATGGAATGAAATATTGGAAACAATTTTAAGATCGTGTCACCCCTCTATTCACGTGTATACGAACTCCTTACATGAAATTTCAAGTATTTTTTAGTTCCCAAAGGTGAAGATTGTCAAATTACACTCCCACGCGATTATTTAATCAATTTGGATATATCAACAAAGTTGAAATGGTAAATTGGCCACCGTAACGATTACAAAAGCTGACGTTTCCAGCGTTAGCCCTTCGTCGTTACTCCCACCGACGCAGCCCCAAACAGTTTCTTTCGAAACTATCAGCCTTTATTCATTTGATTATTGAATCAATCTGGGTGAAGTGTATGCAAGATGATTTCAGTTAGAAAGCCTTAACCCCCTTTGGAAGATTTTCAATAAAAAGGGAAAGCTCGCAGTTTAGAGCGAGGGACTAGATAGTCAAAGCTTGTTTACGAGTCATGTGGCCCATCGGGCCAGCGCTTAAATCCGGTTTCCGAAGCATGAAACGACTAGGAATATTTCTACTCCCCCCTGGATAGAATGCTAGTCCATCGCAGAGTTACCCCCAAGATTAAATCCGCCGATACCTACTTGCACTCCTGGGTGAAGAGACGCGAGAGGAAAGTGTCTTGCCTAAGAACACAACACAATGTCCCCGGTCAGGGCTCGAACCCAGACCACTTGGTCTGGAGTCGAGCTCACCAACCATGAGTCCACCGTGCCTCCCAATGACGAGGGACTACAGCTTACTTATCATCTGAATTATTCAGCAGATCGCAAAAATAGCATGGATCATTAAACCTTGATGGTTACATTCTAAAATTAGAACTGAATTTTCATCAACGATCGTTGTTGCTAATCCAAAAAGCCTCAGTTTTATTTACCAGTCACCAATAACGAGAGGTGTATCTCTAACAGCACTAGCGGTATATATCATTTACAACATGTTGTGTCTACGACATCGAGTAGTTTAGCGTTGTTTGAGCTTATTTACCAGTCACCAATAACGAGAGGTGTACCTCTAACAGCACTAGCGGTATATATCATTTACAACATGTTGTGTCTACGACAGCGAGTGGTTTAGCGTTGTTTGAGCTTAGTACAGCTTGAAATTACACAGCGCTGCAGTAACAATAAACATCGTGTCGGTGGAAACCGAGAAGGCGTTGTTACACAGATCACTGGTACAGCAAGATACTGAACATTTTTTGATTTTGGATTCTTCCGTCTTGCCTGCGTTGTCACAATTAGCCTTGAACTGCTCGCACTCGGCTTTGGACATGCATGCTTTTCTGTTCAGCCTTCTTGCCATCTTCGTCCTCCATAGAAGCTTTCAAACAAGTGTCTGAGGCCACGCCAGGAATATTGCTGCAGTTCATTTTCTGTTGGTTTTCCTTGTTTACAATATTTGCCTCATTAGCATAAGCAATTCAGTTTCTGATGGAGCTAAAAATAAATCAGTTCTGAATTTGGCTTTGGACATGCATACTCTCTTTTCAGCGTTCTTGCCATCTTCGTCCTCATAGAAGCTTTCAAACAAGTGTCTGAGGCCACGCCAGGAATATTGCTGCAGTTCATTTTCTTTTGGTTTTTCTCACATTATTCAATTCTGTAAGGTTCATCGGTGTCGGTTGGGATGCACACGTAGCAGTAAAGCGAATGAGCTGCGGTTAAAAATGATCATTATATACCTTAGTCTTACTATGAAAAATCTGATTGGTCGAGAGCATTCAATCGATCTACAATAGCGTGTGAAGTTGACATGATAACCTAATGTCTGCAGCAGTTATCACGTCGAGTTTCAAGTCTGTCTATTCATAAAGCCCTTCTTCCGTGTAGTATTCTCAAACTTTTGCAAACTCAGACAGAAGTCTTTTCGTTTGTAGATTTTTTAAAAATGTACAATACATCAATTATTTAATAATTATTTTTTCGCATGATATCATGAGTTTTCAAACCTCGTGTCGGTGATGTCTGCCGAAACTTTCGGCCTCGGCAGATAACTCAGACCACAGGTTGTGTAAGATTACTGACGTGGAGCTGAAGGATCAAGACGTCACAAACAGATGTCATCAAGTGGGATACTTTTTGGCCTGAAGTCGTATAGGGGAATCCTTGTTTACAATATTTGCCTCATTAGCATAAGCAATTCAGTTTCTGATGGAGCTAAAAATGAATCAGTTCTGAATATCGAAAGGTCAAAGTACGATTAACTCGGCCAATGAATACGAGCCTGATGCATTAAATACTTTTTGTGCAACACGGGTTTAAAAACTCAAAATTTTACATAGAATGTATGAGCTCATTAGCGCTTTTGCCACCCAGAAATTTTGCAGTTTTTGATGGACTATTTCTCCTTGAATATTACACCCAAAGAGCTAAAAATTTCACCATGTACTGAGGTTTTCTAGCTCTTTAGCTGCCTGAAGTCAATTTGTATCTAACATGCTTCCTTCTTTACGCAAAGCCGTATGCAAATGAGCAAAAATGTAAACAGTGACGTCAGCATGAATCCGCCTATAGACTACGATCAGTCCTTCCTTTGCGGCGGAGTCCGTCGTGCGAGTCAAAAAAAAAAACAAAACAAAACAAAATCGGTGAAAAAAAATTGATGTTGACGCGCCGCGGGGAGCTCTTGGAGTGACGTCGATGGAGCTCCATGAGTCGGAGGCGCTCGAAAAGTAGCGCCTTACTTATGGAGCTCCCGCGGCTCATCGAAAATCACTCCAAGGGCACCCTGCGGCGCGCTAACATTTATTTAAGTTCTTTTAGCTGTTTTTTTTTTTACTCGCACAACGGAAGTCGCTGGAAAGGAGCGACTGCCCCTAGTCTAGAGATCTTAGAGTTTTTTTAATTTCTGCGGATCGTCAATTATCCGAAAAAATAAGGCCTCACAGTAAAAAGAAGAAGATTCGTTAAAATTGAACGCTGGAAAAATGTATCACTCTCTGCCAAATGAAAAGCTTCGCTTGAAAATTCGTTTTCTTCGTATTTGCACTCATTAAAAATATTAATCTAAAACTGATACATCAGTTGAGTGACGGCTTCCTCTAAAGTAACACGAAAAGTTGGAGAAGTTGAACACAATACGTTTCTTTATTTGGAAAAGTTTTGGTGACTGGATAGAAAAACTGGAAAGAGGGTGCCAATGGAATTAACCGTCAGGCGTACAAATTGACAAATTTTAACTGTTAGTCGTAAAAAAAAGTTAACCGTAAAACTTTTTTTCTTAATCACAAAGGAAGGATGTGAACTGTTAGCCGCAAAATGGCCAAAATTTTAACTTTAAGCCGTAAAAACCATCACCCTTTTGATACCCTCTGTAATCAAGCTCCCCTCAGAAATTTCATCTTCCGAGTCATCTCTAACCTCTGACGATGGGCTAACGCTCGAAACTTCAGCTTTTTTATTCGTTATTTTGGCCAGTTTACAATTTCAACTTAGTTGATATAACCGTCTAACCTCAAAGTTGTGTTCTCGCAAATCACAAAGAAAAAGTAAATCACCAACCCGACAAAACAAAACGTGATACAAAATTTACTGGCTCCGAGATGTCACATGATATTCGATTCATTTCTGTAGTAAGAAGCCTGAAAATTATGCCTCATTAGCTACGGAAAAGACAAACTGCTACTGATATGGCGACGACGCTATGGAGTGACAGGAGTAGTATAGGACTTGGGGCTCTAAAACCAAAACGCTAAAAATGGTAAAAAATCAAGCTTTACCAAAGCAATTTATATCATTCTTCAACCGATTCGCAGCGATTCATTTTCGATAGGCTCAGGACGACTTGATTTTCACCCTCTATAAAACCAAAAATGGTAAAAAATCAAGCTTTACCAAAGCAATTTATATCATTCTTCAACCGATTCGCAGCGATATCGCGCTTCATACATTCCTCATACAACACACCTAGTCGGCATATTTCGGACAATATCGACGATAACCTTCCCAAACAAGTGAAAATGTGTGAAATGCAGACTTTCGTGTTCTTGATTTGACGTCACATTACCCGTTAGAGTCATTCCTCTTTAAACTCAGTCGTGGGGCAAGATGGCAGCCGATTTTCCGTATTTTGACTGGGCACAGAAAATGAAAGATTTGATCAAATTAAAAAATTTTTGCACAGATATACTCCAAAAAATAAGCTTATTTCGTTGAGCGAAAAAAATTTTGGGTTTAGGTGCACTTTAATGCTAATACTGCAGGGAGAAATTACATGCTGGTCAATCTTAGAGGGAAATTAAAGGGTTTTAAAGTAATAATGTCATGGTGACTATTCAAGAGTTGACTAATGACTGAGGATGAAGGACTAATTTACCTCATTGATCTGGTCTGTCATTTTCCTCTCTGGCATCTCAGGAATGTCCTTAGCAAAGAGACCAAAGAAGATTATCACTTAAAAAGTATATTCCACTCTAAGTAATTCTTACCCTAGGTTCCTACTTTTCTCAAAACACAAATTATGTCAGGAGAACTTCTATTACTGAGAATGAACTCTTTTAACTGGCTGTAATTTACAGTTTATTCACACACACACACACACACACACACACACACACACACACACACACACACACACACACACACACAATTAAAACAAAAAAGTATTAGAATCCTGGGGCCTGTTTCTCAAAAGTCCCAGTAACTTAACAGGCCTGCAAAGCTGTTCTGTTTTCATTCAAGATGAGGATTTCAAAAGTTTTGAAAATGATACAGTAAAACTATCAGCTAAAGAAACAAAAATGACTGGTTTGGTGCAAGAACCTGCTTTTCTATCCTTTAAATTTTGATTTTACACATGGCTTCGGGCCTGTTAAGTTACTGAAACTTTCAAGAGAAGGGCCCTGGTGTTTTAAATTGTCAGTTAACGTCTTGGACTCATTCATTCCCATGGGTCACCAAAATGTTAGTATGTACAATTTTGTATGACATACTTAAGTTGTGTTTACAGCTATTTGGTGGGTTTGAGATTGTAGAGGACTCTATTTTTCAGGTGGCTCTGATTGAGAACTGAAAGCAGTATCCATGTTGTAAACTCTTTTTGAGCTAGATCCTTAGAACTGAAGACATATAAAATTGAAATCAATAACAAACATCTAAGATTTTTACTTAGCACCACTGAAATTGCACACCTCTCCAAATTCATAATAAGTGCCATCTTCCTTTCTAATGTCATGTTCTTTCAGGTATTTGATGGCATCACTGTAGTTCATTCTCCTATTTAAAGAAATGTTATAATTTTTATTGACAATTATTACCCAAAAAAGAAGAAAAAGTGTTTTAACCTTTAAATAAAAAAATCCAAGTTCACTCAAAAACACAGGATAATTCATTTTAAAACAATCTAAATATCAATGCAGTGCTCATGGACTTGCCTGAATGGTCTCTTGGGTGGCTTAAAATCCTGAAAGAACACAAGATATTCTTTACATAAGTAAAAAGTCCTTAGGATAATCAGACTGTCTGTTAATCATTTTGTTATGTTTGCAGACAATTATTTTGATCGCCTTCCCTTTGCATTTTCTTCTGCCTTGCACATTAAAATTCAATTGATAATTGCAAAAAAATTCTTGTTTATTTAGTAAATTATCACTAAAGTACTGTTTTATAATCATTATTGTTAGTAATGATTTCGCACCTTTTCCATGTAACGACAAATTTCATTATCAGTTTCTGCCTTTTCTCAAGATTTCTTGCCTTTACTTACTGGATTCAATTCTTTGAGTATGTCTGCATGGGGGGATTTCAGCACTCTGTCCACGACATCACATACCTGGAAGGACAAATAAGGATACAAGAACTAATTGATTACCTCAGTTTACATCACACTGTAATAAAAAAATAACACTTGATCTATATGCAATCAGAAAGTGAAAGCAAAACACACATTAAGTGTGCTTTCATACCAAATCTTCAATTCGGTCAAGGAGATCATCAAATGAAATAAAAGGACATTCAGCTTCCACATGAGTGTATCTGTTAAGTGAAGAAAAATTATTGCTTTTTGATGTGCAAAATAATGTACTTTTATATTCATGTAGGCTGACACAGTGCTGACAGAATTAATGCTGACATTCTCCCCTGGCTACTTTACACTCACTATTCACTGCATTTTCAAAAATCAAGGAATGAGAACCAAGTTTGGAGGAAGGAACTTCACGGGAAGGCTAACTACAATTGACTGCTTAATATAAGTAGACTGCATTTCAGGTATCGGGCATATAATGAGTCCTACAGTTTGAATTTTGTTTTATTATATTTTTTACCCTTTTAGAAGAGTCAATGAAGGCTTAACGGCTCAAGTTACAAATTTAGGTTGTCTAGATTTTATAAATGTTGCCAAAAGACATCATGCTGGTTGCCTTTGTCAACCAGTCTCTGGAAGACCAATTGCCTTGCAACTAATCTTGATCTGATTGTTGATTCTATCCTCTACCTGCTACACATTTCCTTTGCAAATAAGTTATGAGAAATTTGTGTTAGATCGAGATAACATCCTCCTCTACCTCTGTGTTAAAGGTAACCAACCAGAACTTACTCTGACAAGTGCCTTCTTGTACGTGACTGCTCAGCTCTGTATGATTGTGCAATACAGAACACATCCCCAAGTGCTGGGATTACTGTCTCCAGGTAAAGCTGGGATGACTGTGTCAAATACGCCTAAAATGATCAAATAATGACAAAGAAAACTTATGAAGAGGCATATTGACAACTTTTAAAACTCACAACCACAGCATTCTCTACTTTTGACACAATTAACTACCACAAAAATCATACTTTCCAGACCATGTCTCTCATTAGTTGGGTGCAAAGATGAATTTGTTATTGATAAATAATTTTCAAAAAATCCAGTTCCCCTCTGATAAAGCAGATGCTGACCACATCTTAGTACCTATGAATATACTGCCATACATTGAAAGGTCACAAAATCATAAAAAACTACAAGAGACTGAGATATTTCATAGATAGAGTAACTATAAAAACAACAACAAAAAATATATAATGTTGATGATTGGCCAGCATTACAGCTCCCAAGATCAAAATACACACTCTCTTCTTTGTTTTTGCTTTAATAATTTGGTGCTTCATAAAACCTAATTGCTATTATATTTTTCTTCTTGTCACTGTTCTTCTTGAAAAGTGTACTGAAGCTGAAAAGGGAAATTTTTCTTTGGCCACTCTTAGGGGTTACAGGGCTGGGTGAAAATGATATCCAATGGAAAACAGGGGTGGATCCAGGATATTTTTGAGGAGGGGATGCACCACTAAAGAATAGCATAACTGACTGGTGACCAGACGTAAACAAATTGTAATAGCGAATACCAAGAAGGCTTTTGCCTAGGCAATAACATAATATGAACTGCTCAGAATACATATCAAATGATACAGTAGAATACCACTTGTATTAGAAAGCCGCAGGTCATCTAAGGGGGGGGGGTGTGCACCCCCTGCACCCTCCCCCTAGATCCACCCCTGGAAAATCACCAGTTGATCATTCACCCTTTGACCTCTAAGAGTGACCAGCATCTAATTAATTTTCTCCTTACAATATCACCCAGGAATCACACATTAGGGTCCCGAGAATAAAAGAAATGATCATTAGCTAAGCAAGCTCTTGATTGTTAAACAACTTCTCCTGGTCTGCACACAAGGAAATGTATAGAGAATAGTATGGAGAACATGCATACTAATGTTAGGGCATAAAGGGTTAACGAACTGTAAAAAGTCCGACGTCTTGTACCTAGGTAGTGTACAAAGTTCCTAACTTACTGGTTCACCAAAATAATTGAAATCAAACAGAGTGGATCCCCCTTCCACTTGTGTCTGCACCATGGTAGGTGGAAATACCTGACAAAAGACAAATCAATAAAAAAAAAAAATAATTGCTGACAATAATTTAAATCACATCATTACTACTTGGACTGACATGAATGTGCAAACTACATTGGTTGAGCTTAGCTGAACTCAATGTCCTTATTCTATATAAGATTTTTACTTTGAGATGGTGTCAGATGAAATTGGTTCACAGTTTAGTTAATAAGTTAACATTACCTTTTAAAAACAACACAGGAGAAAATCACATCTTGCAGTGAAAGTATAAAATTGCACTTAAACGTCATGTGCAACAAAAAATATGAATTACTTTTAATTACTCCTATTTAATTAAAAAATGTATATTTTTACCTCAACGTAACTGCGATTGAAGTAATGAGCTCTGAAACTAAAAGCAATGAAATTCTTTTAATAAAGTTTGACAAGTTTTGATTTTTATTTTCATTGTAACTACAAAAAATCTGTTACAGTATAACTGGTACATGTAATCACCGACTAGTACACTATAATAAATTAAGGATTATTTCAGAAATAATTGTTTGACTGGTTTGGACACTGGCCATTGAACCTCCAAGCTTTAAAACTTATCTCAAAATACCTATAAAGCCTTACATGAAAAGTTAAGGGTGATGTAACTATACTCTGGGGTGATAGAATTTCATTGCAGGCAGCAAAATTCAGGGCAAATGTGTGAGGGGGCGACATCACCTGTTACCATCCGGAATCATTCCAAAAACATCCTGTTACTGCTGGTCACACATGAACAAGGCTCATGTTTGTTAATTTGTGACCTACATGTAGTTAAGTTGTCAAATTAATAAAACAAAACAAGTGGAAGTAACATGGTACTTTAACTTGATGAATCATACTAACCATTGTGTAACTGTTGAGCGCATTCTCAGGATCTTGGAAACCTAGCATCCAAAAATATCACAATTCACGAACATGCCTCAAACTTGTCAATTAAGAAGCAATTCAAGAAAAGAAAAATTCAAGATGAAACTCACCGTTTCACCTCTGAGCATAATATGCCTATTGTCGAGCTGAGTGTCTATGGCAGATTCCTGTGGATTAATCAACACTAAGTTAATAAATGCTAAGCTTATAGTTTTACCTTTTTTCCATCAGAATTCATGTTGTAAGTATGACCACTGAAATCTTGTATCACAAAACCTTTCTTAGTTGATTGTAAATTATAATGTGATTTCACAGCTTTTGTAAATTGCTCCAATATTTGAATCGAAATGAATAAACTTTCTTTTAAATGTGTAATCAGTTTAGAAATACATGACTTTTTTTGTAACATTTTTTGGTAAAAATATGAATAGTTGTGGCAAGGTAGTGCAAAAGAAGTCAGCTTTTAGACTTTCCTAAATCCGGCATATCAACATTACACAAATTATAAATTGCAAAGTTGATTTCTTTTTATTAACCCTTTCACTCCCAAGATATCATTTATTTTATGTAGCAATTCTCATTACTGTCTGCCAGACAATTCTTGTAATTATTATACTAGTTTCCGCAAATTTGGCATTAATTAAAAGCAACTACTTGAGATTTTTCTTTATTATAAATTATTTATAGATATGTCTTCTTGATATCATATTGACACTTTGAGGAGGAATTCTGTCTTGGTTACCATAATTTCCGGCCGTTTACCCGCGGATAATCTGTTGATTTTGCCGTAAACACGCGCCACTGTGGGTAATAGGGAGGTGTGGGTTATGTGACAATTTTGAAATCTACTGGCAGTCGAATTGAAGAGAATTCTGACCTACCTGCGTTTCCACCTCTCAGATGAATTTCATTGTATTAAGAGTACCACAAAGCGCCACTAAAACATGATGCCGACTCGAGTTTATTTCACGCACAATTACTTGCACGAAGAACAAATTACTATCTGCACGCACATAAACAAAACCTTGATAGTGACAAAAATAAACCAAGGATAACCGGCGCATCAGTAACAAATTTCCAGTTAACACTAGCTTCAGCTGAAGAGAATTTTCCCGTTTTAAGGGACATGTTAGGCCCAGTAGAACCAGAGATATCAATTTTTTTAAAGAAATCAACATGGTGCCGAACAATTGTTCGCACAAAATGTGCATAGTCACGAATTCGCATTCTGTCAAGTATGCAATGTTGTGATTTTGTACAAATTTCCTATGTTTTTAAGGTGAGGGTTATCCACCAGTGCGGGTAATCTGTTGACTTTTTTTTTTTTGCTGCATGCAATAATCGGCCGTGTGGGTAAATGGCCGGAAATTACAGTACCCATGGGAGTTAAAAAGTGAAGTGGAACATTCTCTGAACCTCTGACCTCATTTACTAGGTTATCAACTCCACCAGCGGGGGATTCCCCAACAAGTTCCCAGAAATCTACAGCCATTTCATGTCCACCTGGAGCCTGAAGGGAAAAATTAAGCAAGTCTGAGATAAATGTGAAATACTTTTAAAACGTTTCATTCCAACTCAAAGCAGGAGGATACCTCCAAGAAAAAC